CCCCTCCCCCTGGAGTCCCTAAATCTCTCCAAGTTCAGTTGGGACAGCCTGGGTCTATGGGGCAGTCCTGAAGACATGATTGAGGAGGGAGCCCCCTCACCCCAGACCCCTCCAGGTAGTGGTCCCCCAAGTCCCACCCCACCCTGGCCAGCCAGGCCCTGGCTGTGGACGCTTGCTTTATTTCCAAACAGGTTCGGAAATGAAGTCGGGAGCCGGGCTGGAAGCAGGTACGGAAGGAGATATGAGAACCCCCTGGGTTGGGGGGAAGGGACCTCAGGGTTAGTGGGGGAGGGAACTCCAAAGGGGGTAGGGAGGCCTGTGCAGGCCGCTAACTACTCTGCCCTCCCCCATCTCGAGGGTTCAGTGCAGTCAGGGTAGCAGGGAGAGGGGTTCCCAGCCAGCGTGGTCGAGGAACCCCAGAGACCTGTCTCCTACCTCACTGCCACCAGAGCCCGCAGGCTCCTTGCAGCCAGGGACCAGGTTCCTCCCATCCCTTCCCTTCCTTCGAAAGCCCTGGCTCCTCCCCTCTGGGGACAGCTCCCCTCCACCTGGCCTCCCTCTATTTCCACGCTTTTCCTGACACTTCCAGCTTCTCACATCATCACCAGCTTGGCAGCGGCTTCCAGGGGCCAGGGCCTCCACCCTGCTGTGGCCTGCGCAATCCATGCTAATCCATGCTTGCTCGCGGCTGCCCCCTCCCCACTCCTGCCGTTCCCCAGGGCGCTAGGTCCCACCACCCAGCTGAGGCTGCTGGCAGTGCTGCCCTCCCCTGAGGCACCTGGCAGCAGAGTGGTCAGGAGGGTCCCTGGGTTCAACTGCTCTGTCTTGGGCCCTACAGGAGATGGTTGCCCCCACCTTCCAAGCAGAAACCCAGAAAAGAATCAGGGCATTGTGAACCTGATCCACAGGGCTGACCAAAGACATGCCGGAGATGTGGGGTCCTCTGCCCTAGTTCCCCCGCCATGCTGGCCCAGAAGGAGCCAGGGCCGGTCTGTTCCTTCAACAAGCTTGGGTGGGGCACAGGCAAGCTCAAGGAAACACTTATCGGCCCCCTGCCGGTCTCCCCTGACCCCTCAGAGCCCCTCCTGGTGCTGGCCACGGTGTCCCCTGCCCGTTTCCATTTCGTATGTGTCTGTTCACCCTCCCCCAGAGGTCCCTGACCCCTTCATGGCTGAGACTCCTCACGCCCAGTCCACCTCTTTGGATGGAGAGGAGTCTGAACAGGAGGGTAGCTCCTTCCTCCTCTCTCTCCAGGGGACATCAGAGGGGTGCTCTGTCCAGAAAAGGACAGCCAGCACAGGGGACATAGGCCAGAGCTCAGCCAGGCAAGGAAGAAACGCACACAGGCAGGCCTCGGAGGAGTGCCACCCCCGCCCCCATCAGACCCTCTCCTGCCCCCCGCCCACTTGCTCCAGATAAGATGGTGCCTCCCAGCTGCTAACAGCTTAAAGGCGTGTGGCGTGACGGGATGCCAGAGCCAGGATATCGCTTCCCTGGTTCTCTAGTTTTACAGGTGAGACCCCGAGTAAGGCCCAGAGAAGTTAAGGAACCTGAGCTCAGCTGAGACAAGTCCAAGTCATTCCAAGGAAACTTTCTAGGAATCCGAGGAGAAACTAAATCAAACCCAAATCAATAAAATTCAAAAGCAAGGAGCCAATGACCTTCTAAAGCAGTTTTCCCTCCCTGATGGAATGAAAACTGGAGACAGTATCATCTATTTGTCAAAGCAAGGTCACCTAGGTCAAGTCCTTCACTCCTGACTGCTGAGACCAACCCAAGCACCTTCCCTTTCAATCCCTGAGTGTTTGCAGCACCTCCCCCCTCCCCCACTCCCTGCCACTCCAGCGGGGTCTCAGCCACCAGCAGGCAGGTCTTGAGGAGCTGTGTGCAAGTCCTGGGCTGGAGGGGTGCACCAGCATAGCCATGGGCACTGTCCACCATCAGGCACCTTCTCCGTCCAGGAGGAGGCAACCAACCCCCTCCTCCCAGCAGCGTTTCCAAGAGTCAGGGTTTCTTTTCCCTCCTCTCTTTAAAGAAAACAGCAACAATGAGAGGCTGACCCACAGCCCAAGACAAATATCTAGATGTCCCACTCATCCACACCGAGGAAGGTGGGGCGGGCAGGAGGGAGGGAGCCTCAACTCTACAAGGAGATTTCCTCCCTTTGAGATTTAGATCTGCTACAGGCCTCCTTCCCATGTAGAAGCAGGAGCAGAGACTGAGCAGGGCTGGGTGCCAGGCCCAGTTCCGAGGCCTTTAGCTGCATTCACTCACCTAAACCTCATAACACAGTACTCATTCCATTTTACAGATAAGAGAGGTAAAGTAAGTTGCTCAGAAGTGGTGGAGTCGGGGCTGTACAGAGCATGGGCGATTTGGAGGCTGCTGTGTGATATAGTGGACAGAGCTGGGCAGGATCAGAGGCGGGGGCTGGGTAGAAGGATTAGAGGAGACCTAGATTTTCCCTGGCTCTACTGAAGTTGTGTGTCTTTGACCAAGTCCCTTGGCCTCTCTGGACCTCAGTGTTTCCATCTGTAAATGAGAGGTGGGGACTCGGTGGGCCCTAAGGTCTCTGTGCCCTTGCATTCTCTAGTTCTATTCCCCATGGACTATTCAGGGCCCCAAATCAGATTCTCAGGTCCCATCTGCAGCCACAGAAAGGCCAGGGCTGTCTGGAAGAGCACCCCACACACCCGCCCCCACATCGGCCTCCCATCCCCATCTCTACAGGGCTGGGACAGGCACAGACCACAGAAACTCAGTGGGAGCGAGGCTTTGCCTAGCTGCAATTCTGGGCCGCTCAAGAAAGGCTGCCAGGATGCCCAGAGGACCGGCCTAGGAGAGAAAGGAGCCAACTGGGGGAGAGGGAAGGTCAAAAAAAAGAGGCATTTCTCCTTAAAGATGAGACGCTGTGATCCTGCTCCCCTGGCCCCTAAGACAGGCCTCTGACACCTACAACTTCTGATGGCCCGCAGGCCCCCATGGGGCACCGCCTCAGACCTGAGAACTCTAAGAGCTGGTTGTCCACGTTCAGCCTCCTGCACTGGGAAAGGAAAGAGAAGGAAAACTCTAACCGAACAGACAAGGGCAGTGACCACAGTCATTTTTCAAAGAAAAGCCAGGACTTACAACTTTCAGCCCCTGCACGGCAGACTGCTCCCGGCTTAACACCCGAGAGAGCTACGTTGCGCCCAGCCTTGCCTCTCCTCTCCATGTCCCCCGCCCTCCCGTGTCTGCGTGCCTCCCTCTCCCACCGCCCCGTGTCTTCGTCCCACCCTCTCCCCCACCCTATGTCCCACCTGAAGGGACCTGTTGGACTCTACCTGGGCCTGCCCAGCGCCCTGCACAGGCACTTCCCAGAAGCGCCCGCATGCAGGGCTCCGGCCCCAGCTTGGCAGAGGCTGCAACCGAGGGAACTGGGTGAGACCCCGAGGACAGTGGGCTGTTGGGTCCCTTGTCAACTATGCCTGCTTCTCTCCCACAGAGTCTGTGCCGATGGCCGTCATCATCGGGGTGGCCGTGGGAGCCGGTGTGGCCTTCCTCGTTCTTATGGCAACCATCGTGGCCTTCTGCTGTGCCCGCTCCCAGAGAAGTACGGGAGGGACACCCGGGATCTCAGGGAGTGGGACAGAGAAAGAGGCCAGGCTTAGGCTGCCCCAGAGAGCAAGCAAGCAGGAGTGCAGTGGGCAGGGGCCCGGAGGGTGAGCTGGACTGAGCTAAACCTCACCCGACAGGGCAGTCAGCCAGCACCTTGGACTGAACACATGTAGTGGGTAGATCTCTAGAGAAATCTCGCCCTCCAAGACCAGTGAGTCCAACCGGAAAAGCTGGTCACCCTCACATGAAAAACAAAAAAAGCATTCATGGAATCACTCTGTACGGACTTTTAAAGGCCTTTAGTCATTAGCAGTAAAATCTTGGTGTCTGTGCACCCTTGAAGAACTTGTGCATCTCGAGTTTCCATCCCGGGCACAGCGCTGGCGTTCCATGTGACAGACACATGCAGATGTGTCAAATGGGATGGCAGCGCAGAGGTGGAGACAATGGAGGCACAGTCCTCTGGTCCCACTTCTTCCACACGGGAGCTTGGGCGGGCCGCCACCAGCCCCGGCCTTAGTTTCCTCATGTGTAATAGTCACATGACTTTTGTGAC